CTTAGAATATGAAAACATTGGTGAATGTCACAAATTCTCCTAAATCACTCGTACGCACAACTTGCATGAGGCTCAATGATTGGATGATTCTAAGAAGGAGGAGCTGAAATGTGTAAATACATGTTCCAGACCAGGGCTATTCAACTGGTGGCCCGCGGGCCACATCCGACCCACAAGTGGCCAAAGTTCAGCCTACCACTTAGTTCATTCATCTCTTCAGTCCAAATCTCTGGTTTTCTACTTTAATTACTTTAGTTAAACACAGACACGTTTGGTATCTACAGAAACACCAGAATCTTGTCTACAAGCTGGTAAAAACCATTTCTATTAACATTTAACAACATTTAAAACTACAATCAGTTGAAGATAAAACTATGAAAGTGAAAATGAAACGGTTTACAAATTTGACAAATAATTTTAAAACATTATTCGTGTTAAATAGAATGTGTTATTTTTGTTTTTGATATAGTTTTATTTTTATTTAGACTTTATTGAACGTAATGAATTTAAAAGAATAAACAAAGTTATATACAAAAGAAAAAATAAATTTAAAACAAAAAGCAAACAAAAAACAACAACAATAATGAATTATATTTACACGTTCAAAGGAGTGGGTAGAAGTATAAACTTATTTTTACACCCACCCCTCTGACATCTAAAAAATCATCCATAATTATAACTTATATTAACTTCGTTAGAGCATTCTTTCTTTTTAAATGTTTTCTACATCCATATATTTAACTTAAACAAAACAGTAATTTTTTGCATCCATAATTTTTAATACATTAACTTTTTTTTCAATAAATCATAATACAGTAATAAGTGACAATTTCTTCAAACAAAACATTAATGATAGCAGTAATTACCATATTTATTTCTCTTTTTGATATGCAGTGATGACCATCTTAAAAAACATTTTAAACTGTTTTATATTTGGACATTGTTTGATTTCCATACATAAACCATTCCACAGCTTCACCCCATTTACTGAAATACAAAAACTTTTCCTTGTGGTTCGATAATTTAAATTTTTAAATTCACATTTTCCCCTTAAATTATAAAGTCCTTCCTTTTGGGAAAAAAGCTTTTGAATGTTTCTTGGTAAAAATTATTTTTGGCTTTAAACAAAAATAATAGCCATTTGTAAATTCAGTATGTCAGTGAATTTTAAAAGTTTAGTTTTCATAAATAGTGCATGTGTTTGATCCAAATAACCAACCTTATTGATTATTATTATTGATCATTGTTGTAACGTTATTATTGACTTTAGTGAAGTTCTGTATTTGTTGCCCATAACTCTGCACAATAACTCAAATAGTGACTGGTGAACATAAAGTAAAAAACATAAAATATAGTTTGGTTCGCAGTACCGCCACCAGCCGGCTGGTGGCGGTAC